AAACTTAGATATTAAAGCTAAAGTTATTTATTAGTAAATAAGCCTAAGTTAAACTAAAGTTATTTATTAGTAAATAAACTTAAAGTTATTTACTAGTAAATAAACTTAGGTATTAAAGCTAAAGTTATTTACTAGTAAATAAACCTAAGTTAAGCTTAGGGTTAAGCTTAGGGTTAAGCTTAGATTAGAAAGAGGTTTAGGCTTAGGTTTAATAGACTAACTATAAAAAGAGGTTAACTTAGTAGAAAAAAAAGTAAACTAGCTAATAAAGGCGAATTTATAAGTATATATAGTAATACTATATAAGCAATATATATAATAAAAAGTTAATAAATAAATATAAAAGGATATTATATAGCTTCTTTATTAAGAATAAATATTTTAGTCTATATATATACTTATTATTAAGTTATAAATCCTATATTATTATTACTATACTTAAGTTAAAGCTAAAGTAGTCTTATAAATAGATAAGAAGGATAATAACTATAGTTATAGTATTAATTATAGTATTATACTACCCCTACCTATACCCTATAGTATAGATAAGGTAACTAATTAAAGACTAAAATAAAACTAGTTAGAACCCTATATAGTACTATATTAATACTTATTAAATAATATACTTAGTTAAATCCCTACTAAAATATTAGCTTTAGTTAATTATAATTAAATAAATAAAGAAGTAAAGTTATTATTAAATAGTATAATAACTAGTATTAATAGTAATAAAAAATAAAAGGTAGAGTAAGTAAGTATTTCTAATACCTCCTAAGTAATACTTCTACTAAAGAATAATAAAGATACTATTTATAAAATTCTATAAAATAACTATTACTTAAACTAAAATTTTAAAGTAATAAGTTATTATAAGCTATAGCTTATAGAGAAGGAGTAAGAAGAGTATTAAGAGTAAAAATAACTTTACTTATAGTTCTACTACTAACACTAATAGTAATAAACTATAGTAAAGGTAGCCTTTAACTTAAATATTTATATTATATAAGATCTTATAGTATAAGAAGAAGTAATTACTAATATTAAAACCTAAGTATAAGACCTTATAATATAGAAAGAAGTAATTACTAATATTAAACCCTAAGTATATACTCTATAAGCTAATAATCTAGTATTAATCTACTATAATTAACTATTAATTAACTATACTCTAAAAGCTATTTTAGATATAAATAAAGGTTAGTTAAACCTTAAAGTAACTAAATATATATATAATACTATACTAATATAACTTTATAACTAATAGGCCTAGTTTAAAAGAATAAAGATAGTATATAAGTAATACTATTAGATTCTACTAACTAAGTAATAATATCCTATTATACTCTATATAAGTAATAAAATACTACTTTAACTATATCTAATATATATAGTATAGACCTATTAGTAATAGCTAGTAACCTAAAAAAAATCCTTAGTATTTTACTATCTATCCTAATATAACCTATACCTAAGAAGGTATCTATTTATAGACTAAGCTTATTAATCCTAGTAATAAAATAAACTATATAGCTAGTAGTATATATAGCCCTATTAAATCTATATATATAATAATACTATACTTACTAATATATTATATATTAATAATAGTATATCTATAAAGTAAACTAGCTTAATAGTTAAGCTTATATTATACTACTTCCTAAAGGCAACCTAATAGCTAATCTAATAAAAAACAGCTTTAATACTATATAGACTAACTAAGATACCTTACTAAATAAGAATATAATAATAGATAATATAATAGATAATATAAGCTATATTAATAGTATAAGTATATATACTAGTAAAGATTATACTATATAAGATATAGATAATAGGGTTAATATTATAACTATATATAAAGTATAAAAGGGTAATAGCCTAGAAGGGTAAGAGGGTAGGAACTTTATTAATACTCTAGCTAGGGAGGAGTCTAGTCTATTTATATTAAATAAGAGCTAGGACCTAGAATTAGATAAGGATAGGTTATAGACCCTCCTAACACTAGGTATAAAAGGGTTTATAACTACCTAATACCTACCTTTATTACTAGTAGCTTTAATTCTAATTAACCTACTTCTTAAGATAATAACTACTATACTTAGATATTACTATAAGTTAATCTTTCCTTTACTACTAAGCTAATATCTATAGATATATCTTTTAAGAGACCTTAAACCTTAGTTATACCTATATATATTAGGGGATACTTATAGTTTTATTATATTACTAATATATATATTTAGGTAAGTAGTTATACTATAATAGTAACTAAACCATACTAGTAGTTAGGGTAAAGGGTTAGAAAAAATAGGTTTTTTTTAAACTAAAGTTATCTACTAATAAATAAACTTAAAGTTATCTACTAGTAAATAAGCCTAAGTTAAGCTAAAGTTATCTACTAATAAATAAACTTAAGTTAAGCTAAAGTTATCTACTAGTAGATAAA